CTCCATGATGTTGGTCCCCCTTAAGCTAGCAGTGCGGGAATAGAATAGTGGAAATTGGATAACTGGCGGTCAAAGTTGCTAATGTTAATAGTCCTATTAACACAAATACAAACTCTCTTTAACTCTTTTAGTCTCTAACCTACCATTCTCCTTCAATTTTTCTTGCTAAACAATATTCATGGTTTTGCTTTTTACAACTGTTTAGACTAAACTTTTTCTATTTCAAACTTTCTTTCCCTTTCTATTTTTTCTCTGGAAAGTCATATCTCTAAGCTTTTTACAATTGATCTAAAGTGTACAACGGCAAGACCTGGTAAAAAGATCATACAAGCCAAGCTGGTGGGTATGTCTTACCCTTCTCTATTTATTTGTTGCCTTTTCTGGTCAACCTGTTTCTTTTTTCTTTTCTTGCTGAGATGCACGTCCCCTGTTGATTTCCTGATTAAGCTAGAGTGTAGTGTTTCTTTTCTTTGGTTTTAGTCCCTGAAAGCATTGCTCAGATAAGCTGCAAATGCAAATTTTAGTGATTGATTGAGAAAGGAATGATATTTGATGGATACGATGATGCTTTAATATTGTAAATGTTAAGACTGATAGGACTGGAGTAGGTTATGGCTTTTATGCCTTATAGTGCTGCATTTTGTAGCATTGCCTCTGAAGATGGTCTATAATAAGCATTGCTTTGTAAATTTTTTGTACAAAAGAGGCTGTATCCTAGGTATAGGAAAGGAGTTGCAGGTGTAAGGATTCAAACTCCAAACCTGTTAGATGTCACCTCTTAAGAGTGGCTGCATGAACTAATTGAGCTAAGCTCTGGGTTCATTACTTTGTAAATTTGATCCCAAAATATTTTGTGGCAAATGGGATGGTTCATGGAGTTTAAATTAGTCATCTGACTGGCAGGTTAATGCGTTTGAAAGTTACAATTTTACTAGTTAGAACGAGGACATGGAAGATAATCTGTGCATTCACCCATTCACAGCAACAATAAGATTAAAATGGACATAAATGAAAAACCTCATCGGACCAAAAAACTTTGTGACGAATTGCATATTAAAGGAGAATCTTGATGAGGAGATAAATTGAAAACATTTGATTTTCAGGTTCTTCTAGGGGATATGGGAACTAGCAAAACCAGCTTGGTTCTAAGATTTGTCAAAGGCCAGTTTTTCGATCACCATGTCCTTGTTCTTCTCTTCTTTATTCTATATATTTCGTCTTCTCATTGTTCTTTAAATACGACTACTTGTAGTTAAGGGGCTTGATTATATTTGTCTACGTATAGGAACCAACAATTGGAGCAGCCTTTTTCACTCAGATATTATCAGTAACTGAAACCACTGTAAAGTTTGACATTTGGGATACAGCAGGTCAGGAAAGATACCATAGCTTAACTCCTATGTACTATCGAGGTGCAGCAGCAGCTGTTGTCGTTTATGACATCTCAAGCATGGTAACTACTGATTGATCTTCATGCAGTTTGCTAGAACCTTGGTTAGATTAAGTAATGTTAATGATCATATCAGGAATGTTGCTATAAATCAAATTGAAATTCATCTCAACCACATTGCTAATTACAATTGTTTCCTGCAGTAGTCATTAAAAAACTATTTATTGCAACTGATATGGAACTTTAAATGAATCATTCATTGCAAGTTGATCAGAGTGTGTGACTCTTAGGCCTCTGTTTCTTCTCCTTATTTCTTCTGTTGACAACAGGGAAAGGTAGCAAAATGAAACCAATCAACCATGTTAACTAGAAGACAAAGAATGTGATGTGAAATTAGTCCAAAAGATTACATGGGGAGTCTTCATTGCAATAATGAATCAACATGTTCAAGCCACTCCCTTCCCCTACCTGCCCTTTCCTTCCACCATTTCTTTCTGCCAGAGTTCTGACACTCCAATGGTTTCTTTGCAAAGTTTTTAAATAAACTTATTGTTGCAATGATGCGGTATGTTTTCTAAGTAATGGAAATAAGTATATCACTTGTTCAGGTACCCTGGGGCTAGCTGGGAAACTGATTGGTACCTGGCCATTCCAATATTATGGAATATTATTTCAATGAAATATCTCTTTGTTTTTCTTTTCTTCTTCAGGATACCTTTGTACGATCGAAGAAATGGGTTCAAGAACTGCAAAGAGAAGGTGAGAAAATCCATTTGTAAATGCTTTAATTTATTCCTAGGCATGCCATCATTGCTTGAATTCGACCAAGTTTTGCCTCCTACCCTCTGCAGCTTATGCCTTATTACATGCCAAGTTTTGGCTGTACAATACCAGTAAGCAGAATTCGACCTATGTCCATTCTGTTGAATAAATTAGAGGGCAGTGCACCTTAATTTTGAGCAACTTCTTCCTGTCCCGACTGTGACTTTGGGATGGTTGAAGTTACCATAAGGTTTTGCCCATGAGAACATAGGATTTTGTCCAGGGCAACTAGCAATCTTCTTACCATGCTAGAAGTACTCCCCTGGGGACTGGAGATTCTTTCAAAGCAAATTCCGTCATAGTGCCCCTAGAAGATGAGCTTTATCCATATTTATACGAACAGAACTCAGAATTGAAAATAACTTTGTTTTGATAATAGTCATCAAACATACCTTCAAAGTCTTAGTATTCTTTATCTGAAGTTATTAAGGACACTTCAGTTAAGTTTTCCTTCACTCCTTTTTTTTTTTTTTTTTTTGCAGGATGGAGAACAATTTGCTCAAGAAAATGGAATGCTTTTCATAGAAACATCTGCGAAAACTGCACAGAATGTGAATGAGCTTTTCTATGAAATAGGTATTTGTCTTTCACTTGTTTCATGTTTGATGGAAACACCATCTCATTGGTGCCAATGCATGAGACCAGCTTCATCTTGTATATGGTACAAATTGTCCAATCAGGCATTCTCCTGTGTTACTGAGCATGCATGATTCCTTTATGTTCCAGATATGCAAAGCTTTAAGGTTTCAACATTTTATTTTTGTGTTTTTCTCATCCTTTTCTTCAGTAAAGTGAATCTGTGAACTTTGATCGTTTGCTCCTTTCCTATGGGCAGCAAAGAAGTTAGCGAGAGCTTGCCCTCCAAAATCATCAAAGATAAATCTAAACAATAAAAGACAGGAAAGAAAAGGAAAACTATTTTGTTGCTTAGGTTGAAAGTTATACAATCTCAGGAGTCCTGGTGTAACCCAACTGATCTCAACCCTGTAGAGTACTTTTGAGGCAGATCATTCCTTCCAGAGTTTCTATGCTATTTCTTATATTAAATGCTGGATAGCTGATTCATAGTTATTCTGGTAATTACTACAATATATAATTGTAAATAAATTGCGCATAGAAGCTATCAGAATTACTGTAAAATGACTAAACACCCTAACAAGTATACTGCTTCATAGTTTGTATAGATGCTTATGAAGTTTTATCACTATGCATGTTACCTACAGATTTCAAGAATGGCCACAGGGATATGCTAATGCAACTTTTCGATTGTTTTCAATTCAAAGTTAAATAGGCAAAGATATTATAGCATGTTATATCTTTTCTTTTCTTTTTTTCTTTGTAAGAAAGAGGTCACTGGTAATTAATCAGTGTATCAGATGCAATTTCACCTGAATAATTAATAAATTAATGTCAGCAATTCCATCAGCTAGTTACCACATATCCTATTTCAAATAATTAATAAATTAATATTTAAATGAAAAAAAAAAAAAGGAATTTTGCTCATGAAGTTTAAAAACCATATTCACTGTGTATAATACAAATTAAACAGCTAAACATGAATCATACAGACAAATCCAATGATTCTTTTCATAATTCAGACATAATACAATTCTTTTAGATAACATTGATAGAATATTGAGAACAATCTTTTGGCTTATAACAATGCTCACTCAACACTTACAATATCTGACTAGTAAAAGAGTTTAAATTTAAACCAAAGTATAAAATTCCAGATTATGTAGTTTTGCCAATTGCCATCTCCATCTGTTGAAGTTTTCAAACTTCCTTTCTCTCCAATAATTGGCACAAAATCTGAAGCAGACAACAACTTCGTACGTTGATTGAAAACCCGTTAATGAAGATTTATTGCAATTCATCTTTCAAGTATTAATCTGTTGGGGAACACCACAGCTCTGATACCATTTATTGGGAAACACCGCAGCTCTGATACCATTTGTTGGGCTAAAAGCCTCTAATCCAATCACACCAACGGAAGCGAAATCAAACAATAAATCAAACACACAAGAGACAATAATTTAACGTGGTTCAGTCCAACTGACCTACATCCACGGATGAGAAACAAGATCCACTAGTTGTAGAGAATTATAAACTTACATCAAATCATCAACCTCACTCAACAATCAATACTCATAAGACACTCTCAATCTCCTCTAGTCCTACGGAATATTCTCAACCCAAACAAATACAAACTCAAACCGTTGTGCACCCTTTCAATATAACCAAACACATACCCATATGCTCCCATACACCATACCTATATGGACCCTCTCAGTCTCCTTTATTCCATTCACAAACAAGCATACACACCCATAAGATGTAGAGCCCTAATACTCCTATGGGGTATCTATCCCACAAAACCCTACAACTCTTTTACATCTTTTTCTCATACCTAATCTTGTAGAGACTTCACCTATTTATAATCATACAAACTTGCCCATTAAGAATTCTTTTCCTCTTAGAATTCTTTTCCTGTAAGTCAAACTTGCCTATTAAGAATCTCTTTCATTTTAGAATTCTTCTCTTGTAAGTCAAACTTACCTATTAAGAATCCTCTTTCTCTTAGAATTCTTCTTTTGCAAGTCTTCTTGTCCATCAAGCAATATCTGACAAATCTCTAACAAATCTCTTATGAGATTTGAGTCAATATTCCCAACATAATCATTGACAGAAAAATAGCCAAAATCTCTACGTAATAAACATGTAACACTGTCATCTATACATATCCATATCTATTTTTACGAGCTTTTTTTTTTTTTTCTGCTTTCTTGAATGACCATGCAAAGCTTTTTTCATAATAAAATGTGGAGCTATTTATTGTGAATGAATGAACCAACAAACTAATTTCCTATAGAGGCCTTTCAAATGTGAAGATGCTATAAAGAATTAGAATGAATATAAGGTAATATCTAGACTCTCCTATTGCTATTTTCTTTTATCCCCTTCGTATAGCTGTGAGCCGAGTTGCCAAATCATCATATTCTGGTAGCTTGGGATGCACATGCGCAGCAAACATGTCTGGCTGGAATGAGGAGGCTCGGTTGTGCCTTCCTGCTGTCTCCATTGGACTTGTTGCTTCTTTGGGAAAAGATGCAACCCTGCTCAGAAGAGAAGTTGGATCAGATGTATTGCTTTGGAAGCTTGAGCCTTCATTGGTGTCTTCAGCTGTTTGTCTTCCAGGGGGAGGTGTTAGATTTGCTTTCCATTTGCATACCCATTCATAAGGCGACTTTTTCTTACTGTAATGCATCAAAAGCCCATCCATTGTTTTCTCCTCTTCGTCTCTTTTATCACTTTGTTCCATTTGTATGGATGCCAAACCCTTTCTTGCTTCTTTGTGATTCACTGTAGTTGGACTAATATTTGCAGCCCCATCATTTCCAAAACTGCTTAAACCTTCACGACCTAGTGGTGGTTTCAAAGGTCTCCTCCTAACTGATCTTGGTTTTGGCTTAATTTCACCAGCTGAATCATTCCATTTGTTGTTTTTCTCGTTATCAATATTATCACTTGGTGTTGTGGGCTCTTCCGTGCTGCTATTTTCTTTGCCCAGGGATGGCCTGACATAGGGAGGAGGAATAAATTTGCCGTAAAAGGGCTTCCTGTTTTCTATACCATCCTCAGTAACACTTTCATCCGAAGTAGTAGTCATTGGGATATCTTGATCGGTCACTACACCTTCACTGCTGCTACACAGCTCGTATTTATCACCAGTGTCATCCTTTCTCCTAGGGTAAATGTGGTGATCTGTTTCATTTATTTTTAGCCTCCTGTACTCGTGCATGTTACTCAATCCATTCTCATCACCATGAATGTTGCTTTTCTGGAAGCTATCATTCTTGCTTCTGTACAACTTGTATCCATCACCATCAGCTTCATTTAAAGACTTGTTCTGGGCCTCATTCTGCAAGAAAAGCCATATTCAACATGTTACTACGAGCATCAACTTTAGAAGAGATCTTCAAATAAACGACTATTTCGTGTAATGAAACATTTTGCATCTAGCTAGATGCAGGATGAAAAGAAAGTCTGTCCTCTAAGTTGTTATATTAAAAGCCATAAAATCAGGGTCAGAAAATCAATTTTGTACATTTGGCCTTTCTTTGTCTCTAGAACCTCCCAACTGTACAAAAATGTACATTCCGCAAATCTGTTATAGCTGTTTCTTAGTCAGAAAATCAGGGTCAGGAAATCATTAGAACCTCCCATACAGATTCAGCCGTATAAGAAAGCAAATAGACCTACTGTATGAAGTAAAAAATAGTATTGTGTAACATTAAACCTTTCAAAGTTGTTTTCCGCTCCTGTTTCAATAAGATGCAGAAATTTACATGGTTCTAGACATGGAGGCTTACTTGCTCTGATGGAGCTGGCTTAAACAGTTTCTGATCCAAAGCCTTGGAGTCCCATTCAATAGAAAATTCTTGTGCTATGTCGTGCATCAATTGAAGCTTCTTCTCCTTTATAGGAGGCTCTGCCCTCAGCTTCTGCACAAACTGTATATAAGCAATTATCTAGGTTAGTACTGAAAGAGACAATTTACTAAGAATAGAAGAACACAACATCTTATAAGACAGCAAGCCATCCATTTATTACCTCTTGGTTTAAAAAAGATTCTAGGGAATTCCCATATCTTTCAGTAAATAGAGTTCTGAGGTCACGTAGTTCTGGCAAATCCGCAAATCTGGCTGCAGCGTATATTAGTGATGGTATAGCTTCTCTACATTCCTCAGGACACTCACTGTATGGGAAGAGAAGTAGATGTATTACTAAAACTAATGACTAGAGAATTATAAAACGGCCAAACAAAAGAATGTAGCTGGTGCCTCGCATTACTATCAAATAGAAAAATCAAAATCAATAAAATATAAAAAATCTTCTCTGTCAAGCAATAGGGAAATTTTGGGTAAAATGCAAGCCTCTTTCTATATCCTTATGCTTGAGAAGTGGAAAAGCCGAGAAAATGTTTGATTTAAGCACTTGATAAGGTATCAATGTCGTAAATAGAAATAGAGTAGTACAAATTCAAGAGTCTCAACATACCTCTGCTTTTGCATGACTGAGTCATGCTTTGAGATACACTCCAAAAACTGCTCTATGAAATTGTAACAGGCTGTTCTGTTTTGCTCAATCAGAAGACCTTCAGCCTGCATTACCACCCACAAAGAAATTAGAACCTTTAACTGATCTAAGATAATTCAGAAGCCCTATCTGCTAATTTGTCTACACATATACATATGCCATATGCCATGCATAATTTCGAACTTGGTTGCACAGCGAGCCAAATAATTACAGCTTATATTAAATTACATGTAAATAGATGTGTGCACAGTATGCATATTAATCACACAAGATTGGTTAAAGTTGGGAATTTTTGGTCCTTGGACCGCCTGATGATCCTATTCCTAAAGCAAACGTTAGCAATGTAGACATTCATGGGAACAGAATAAAAAATCAATTCCTGATGCATGCCAAACAAATACAGATAATGTAGCAGCTCATGTCATGAGTTATGCGGATAATTGTAACCAGAAAAAAAAAAAAAAAAAAAAAAACCTGAACAGTTGTAATCTTCTGGTGCTCAGTTGACAAGCCGCAATCATTTATTACAGTTCATTAAACCTCCTAACTAGAAAGAAACACTTTTTGCCAAAACAAGTAGGATGAGAATTGAAGACAACATAGCACATGAAAGATGGGGATATTAAAGTTCTGTCCCATGCATGTTATGGTAGGAACATGTGAATCAACAGTGGCAGTGCCAACACCTGGTCCATAATGTGTTCCCATTCTCCCAATTTCTCTACCCATTTCTGCTTCACTTTTTTTTTTTTTTTGAGTGCATATTTGTGGAAAAATATTTCCTAAAGCCTAGGGGCGAGGGTTTATATCAAGGATTATGAAGCAAGAAACAAGGCAGTGAAACTAATGAAATTCAAAACTTGTCAGGATGCAAAGAATCTCAGGAGAAGCAAACAATGAAAGGATCCCATGAAACAGATGCTTAAAGACAAACAACAATGGGAAAAAATAAACATTGGATAGTGTATTTTTGTTGGCAATATAGGCCACAACATCATCAACGGCAATTATCAAACACAAGTTTCAGGCCTTTTTTTAGAAAAAAAAAAATTAACGTAGAAATCATTCAGAAAAAAGAGAAACAAAAAAAGGCCAAATTGATATAAAAGTAGTTACCCTGCCATAAGCATTGTAATCAAGACCGTTCTTGAGAAGCTCAGCAATATCATTCTTCAAATACTTCTCTACCGCATTTCTCCTCTTCTTTATAGTCTCAAGTCTCACCTTAGTCATCCTTATTGCCGATTTGCTAAACCAAAAAAAAAAATGAAAAATGAAAAATCCAATCAAACAATAAATACAATGAACAAAAAAGATCCAAAGCACCAAAATTTAATGCAAAAAAAAAAAAAGAAAAAGAAGCAAGAAAAAATTATGGGGTTTGTATGTCTAACCATTTTGCATAGAACTTCGGCTTCAACAGCAAGTCGAACATCTTGTGAATCAAAATTGAAAGGCAGGCGTTTTTCTCTTTTTTTTTTTTTTTTTTTGAAGAATGAAAATATTTGTGATCAGGGCTATATAAAAACATATAAATGAAAGTTTCTCTTTCAAGTAACACCGAGAATCTGCAGTCAAAAACCCAAAGAAGCAAAGAAAAGAAGCTGTATTTTTTTTTTTTTTTGAGGGAATAAGCAGGGATTTCAGATAATTTGTTTTCAGAAGTTTTTCAGTTAAAGAAAAAAGAAAGAAAGAGGCAGCAAAGAACAAGGAGAGAGCTAAAATGGATGTCTATTAATAGCAAAGGAAAGAAGCTGAAACGCAAGGAATTTGAGGGGTTTCAAAGAAGAGAAGGAAAACTTTCAGTTTAAAGAATCTTTGAATTGCAGGAAGGATTAAATCAAGCAGATATACAGCTGAAAAAGCAAAGAAGAAAAAATAAAGAAAGAAAAATTTTGAATATGTGGAGAAATCATTGACCCGTTTGACTCTATTATTCTCCCGCTAGAAAAAAAATTATTTGCGCGCTTTTTTATTTTTTTAATTACCAACAATTAGTTGAATTATTATGAAGGCATCTGGGTATTTTAATGTAACTAAAAAGTAAGATGATAATGAATCGAAATTCAATGAAATTTAGTTTGATTTTTTTAATTAATATATAATATCTTAAATTTTAAAAAATAAAAAATTTCTTAAATCAAACCGATCCAACCAATTGTTACTGGTTCAATTATCACCTTTAGCTACCAGGTCATTTCCTGGAAGTGTAACAAATTATTGAAGAATAAAAATGGTGATGAATTGTCAATGAGTTCGCGTCTACTCGAACCGGGAATAAAGGCAAAAAGCCCATGCAAATTCACACCCACGTTTCAACGACCCATTGAATATTCAAAGACAAAGCAAGTCCAAAGCAAAGCATGATTGAGTGGAAAAACTGGGTTTCCATGTCTCTGTAATACAGCTGTGATCTCGTTGGAAAGATTCCTAATGTCCTTACTTCCATGCCAAGTACTTAAAAAAATACCCATTTTCTTATTTTTCTTTCTTTAAAAAATTGTTCTATACGCCTGTTGTTTAAATTGTAATTTGAAAGAAAAAAAAAAAAGTGCTTCAACTTTTCAGCAAGATTTTAGCAACTAGTTCAATACTACTTGTTGGCCAAGTTCATTCATCTCTCTATTAAGTTTTTGAAAATGTTGTTTCACTTTAATGCTTTACTTGGATCATTTCTTTCATAACCTTCTTTCATAAGTATTAGCTGTTTTTAATTTGTGGCCAATTTTCTTAGCTTACATAATTATAAAAGATCAATATTCCTTTTTTTTTTTCGTTTTTGCTAGGAAAATTCGCATTTTATCAGATTGCAGATTAAAAAGTTATGTAATTAATAATCCCCACAAATAGATTAGAAAATATTAATGGGTTAATGTCATAAATAATTTTTTAATTATAGTTAAATATTTAATGTGATATTTAAAGTTTAAAAATTTTTAATACAATATATAAATTGTAAATTTATTAATTAATATAATACTCATTATTAATGTGATCAGTTTCAAATAATAACATATGATAAATAAATAATTTTTCAAGTATCACAATAATTAAAAGATTTATAGTTCAGTACCACATTAAAAATTTTTAAATTCAAATATTGTAATAAACATTTTATTATAATTTAAAATCATTGACAACATTAATCCAATACTTATTACCAAATAGCTTGCATGAAAAAATTTTGAAGAGAAGATGGTGAAAAGACCTTTTAATTATCATTAACATTAATTCCATGTGATAGATTAAAAAAACCAAAAGGTGTGACTATGAATATATGATGATGAAAATACTACCTGTTAGTGTGTAAAAGGATAAAAAGAAAGAAATGATAAGGAAAACAGTCCTTAGAACGTCCCTTTATCCAAAAATGCTCATTTAGGCATGGTAAATTGTCATTCATCTTCCAACAAAAAATCGAAAATCCAAAATTTCTAAAACCAAAAGCCTTAATTCCTGGTTTGCATCAAAGCCATGATTCTAGCCTAGTTTTCAGTTGCAGATTTCACAATATCTGATAATTCTCTCCAAAAAAAAGAGTGAAAAAATGGGAAAAAAAAAAAAAGAAAGAAAAGGCAAATGTGGATGAATTGAAAGTGGAGTTGATGACGATGATAGAAAGAGAGTCAAGGCAAATGTGGCAATGGTATATATCTGAAATAAAGGTTTACCATTTTAGAAAGTTCATGCATGAATTGAAGGGAAACTAATGGTCCGAAGACAGCTGGCTAGCAATGAGATGGGAAAAATGCATGATGAGTAAGTGATCTGGTTATGGTTTGCTTTAGTGGAGTTAAGTCGTTATCAAACTCTTGGGTCGAGACAAGAATGAAGATTTCCTGATATCATATCAGCTGAAATTAAGGTTACATTGCGACCCAGATATGCGGTGAAATATATACTACTGCAGCAGCAAGTCACAGGAAAACTACATGTAGGATTATTATTTGTCTCATGTCCAATATTGCTCATCGAATTTGTCATGTTTCACATTTCACGTTAATAACAAAGGGAAGGCAAAGTTTCCGCCTGTAAACTAAAAAAAAAAAAAAAAAAAATTTGATCCCCTCCTTATCCCTCAGCCCCAAGCGCATGACCCCAATGCCTAATACTAACTCCCCGCCACCCTCTAGAGAAAACGAATTATACTTATGTTTGGATTGAAGTTTTTAAATGAAAGGAAAAAAAAAGTTTTTAAAATAAAAGAAATGATAGTTTATTCTTTATTTGGATAGTTAAAATGAATAAAAAAAATGGATTTATCACAATTTTTGTTTGGTTAAGTTGCGAAACGAAAAAAAAAAAAAAGATATTATATTATATTATATGGATCTAATTATCTCCTTTTAAAATAAAATATTTTTTATCATGTGAATAATTTTGATATTAATTATTTTAATTAATTTTGAAAATTAATAAAAATAATTTCAATTAAAGAGAATATTAATAATAATTAATTCATAAAAATGTATGTTTAGAATTGTTTTATATTACAATATTTTTTTCAAAATTAATCCATAAATAAGAAAAATAAAAACTTAAATGTTTATTGTTAAGTTAAAACTAATCATAAATTTGTTTAAGTATTAGTATTTTCCTGCATTGTACATGTTTCATCATTTTTTTTTTATTGTTTAGAATTTGTAAAGTGATAACAAAATGAAAAAAAAAATTAAGACCTAAGCATAAATTAATAATATATAGAATTTGAAGCTATTGACAAAAAAAAACAGTTGAGAAATGAATTACAAAAAATTTTAAAGGCAACCTTAATAATTAACATCAATGATTAAACTTGAAAATTATAATAGGGTTCTTTAAAAAATGATAAAATATAATAAGAACATAAAATTATTTTATATTTAAAAATTTTTAATCTTTTTCTTTTCTTTGTGTTAACCCTAATTTGGGGTAGCTAAAACTTGGAGCTTTTGAAAGAAAAGGAAGGATACTCAATTTTCTTTATTTTCTTTTATCAAAATGTAAATGATAAATCAAATAAAATAAAATTTTTCTAACTTTTTCTATTTTTCTTTTAATTTTTTCCCATCACCTACCCTCAACCCAAGCATAGCACGTAAGGGCTAAGCAGTAACGATTGCTGATCCTTCGCACCAGAATAGAGGGTTCTCACACCAAGCCCATAACTTTGGGCTTCCGAGCCCTTTCATTGTGGACCCAGTAACTCATTTATTATTAGTTGGTTTTTATTTCCGGGGTAGGGTCAAATTTTAATTGGGTTGGTAAACGGATGTTCCGGTCCATAATATGGTCTGGGTGGTGGCGATGTGAGTTTGAACGGGCTTTGGCTTAGGCCCATCATCAAAACTTTCTTAGCTGTGGAGCATATATCCAAAGAGTCAATCTATGTGCCTCCATAGGTTCAGGATTCTGGGCAAACTAGGACACTTCACCGTTCACATGGAGAACTCTGATTCATTCCCAAAAAATGTGAAAAAACCTCAATAGACACAAGGGGGAAAAAAAGAAAAAAAAGAAAAAAAAATCTGATATTGGAATTTCATACAATCAAAAACCTTATTATACAATGACACTTCAAGTCATAATTCTACTCATTAATCTTGGAGCTCTCTTCAAATATAAAACCTATGCCTAAATAAAAGTCAACAGATCCATTGATGGATACGATCCCAACAAAGTGATCCAAGCTCGGGATGAAAAACAAAAATGGTTGTAAAGTAATGTTACCATTACCCCCGTTAGTGGTCCTATATATTGAAGAATATCAACAGAGGCTGCCTTGCTACTACCACAAACATCTCAAGAGGTTGATTAGAAAATGGAACAAATAGTTTTCTCGATCAACCAGTTCACGTCGAACCAATCTCTCTAAGTTGAGGTTTCGCGGTAGAAGATTGTTGTAAAAGCAACGTTGTGACAGAGGCTGCTGGCTGAGCCACTAGCGCTGTTACTAGCCTTGCTAGTGAGCGGGCCATCAGTGGCATGAGAGACGGTAAAAATATCCCTAAAATCATCGATGGAGGATTTTGTTACAAGATCAAGTCAAACAGATTTTGTTCTCGATATGAGTTTAGATGGCATAAGAGAATACCATATACATTTGCTAGTGCAGTGAAGGTTTAAGAAAATTCCCACTAAACATAGGTACAAAAATGCGAGGAAGAGTGCATAACATGATGTACTATGACGAACAAAATAAATTTGATCTGATGGTTGTTACCCTTTGAAGATGAGTTGATTGAAGAGAAATCTTGCTGGAAATGTAGTTAATCCAGGAGGTGAGGAGGAGAGACAGGGAAATAGTTGGTTGATAAGCAACTGAATTCTTTCAAAATATATTTTCCTGGCTGCCAATCTTCAGCTAATGTTCATGCCAACCTTACGCACAAAGTCAACCGCTGCAAGACTGTTAAAATTGCTGATACAATGACTGAGAAACCCACGCCAATGGATTTAATAGAAGCCCAAACTGTGGTAGTCCGTCAATCCCACTAATTTCTTGGTAAGTGACAACAAATGATAGGGGCCTCGATGTTTATGTATATGTCTGTTGCTAGAGGGCTTTTTCGATTTCCTAAGCATAAAAAATAGACTAACTTGACATTCTTGTCGAGGTCATTGTACCAACTTCCTAAGGCAGGAATGATTAAATCCCCCTTAAACAGGGGGCTAACACTTGGTTTTAGTTCTTACCAACCTTGATTTTTGAGTAGATTTGCTTTTATTTCTTGGCTTTAGTAAAAGAAGAATTGGGAGTAATGAATAGCTTGATTAACCCTTTCATTGAAGTGGCTATACGAGTGAATAACCCTTTTAAGTTTTTAAGTGGGTATTGGTTCAAGGCGCATATCATATCACAGAAAATTTAGAACAAAAATAAATAAAAAAGGCAGTTTAGTGTTCTGAGAATCCAAGGAAAATCAATGAGAATTGTCCCTGGATTGTTCCTATGGAGCAGAAAGGACTGTTACTTAGCTCTAAAATGTAAAGTCATGCCAAGAGGAGCAAGAAAACTACTTCTGAGTGTTTCCTGTTTGCTACTTCTCACTGATCCTTCCTCTTCCTGCACAGACAGTCACAGTCCAGAACAAGGCCAACAGCTCGCATTCGGGCTGCGGCTGGTATCATTCTCTGGGATCGTAAGTTAGGTTTCTTTAGTAACTACTTCGGAATTTGACTTGGTGTTACTTAGGAATATGGTACAACGATGCACTTTAATATGGCTCAAAAATCTTGAACCCAGCGTGGGTTGGTTGCAAACAGAAACAACCCATATCCTTGATATCAGTTCTTTAGTTCTGGAATAGATAGAGATGGTAGCCTGAAAATTCTGTGTGATGGGAGTGAACTCAATTGCCTTGTATTCAGCTCAACCAGCAATCCAAATGATGATGGTAATGTCGTGGTAAACGAACTGAATCCAGGTGGAACCGTAAAGCAGGTTTTCGTGGCAAAGTTTTGATCGCCCAACAGATACGCTTCTGTCAGGAGTGATATTGGGGATTAACTTCAAAACCGGATTCGGCTGATATCTCACATCATGGAGACGTTATACACCAGCAGCCGCAGGTAAATCTGTTAATTTGAAATATGATATTATGGTAGGAAAATCATATAAATAAAAAATTTTAAAATAATATAATTTAAAATTTAATAAAATTTAAAAAATTATATTTTATATTTTTATATAAATTTAAATTTATAATATATAATTTTTATAAAAAATATTATATAAATATAATATTTTACATGATATAATTATAAGATTTACCTAATACGCCTAAGTTTTTTACGGTTGGTATGGATCCCAATCGTACAAACCAACTGGTTTTCTGGCGGCGAGGAGGTTGACCCGGGCAAGATTCTAATTCTGAATTTCTATTATATTAAACTTTGCATACGATTCATATTAAAAAAAATTGCATAAATAAAGATTATAGTCTATAATAATACTTAATTTCAAATAAAATTTTAAAGTAATAAATTTATTCATTTTTTAAATTATTATTTTAATTTTAAAACTAAAATAATTTTCTTTATTTTAGCATTAGCACTGTTAATTTTTTTCTTTAAATATTATTAGTTATCATATTTTTAATTTAAATTTTTACAAATAAATTCTAAAAAATTCTCTGACAAAACAGATACCATTCTAGTACTATTAAAAATGTTGAAAATTGCCAAACATTTTAAAAAGAAATTTATCTTTTTCATAAAGAAAAACAAGTTGTCAGGCGGTTTGGTGGTAGCTGCTTCTTTTTGTTTGAGGCAGCAATTGATCACGCGCTAAACGCGTGTCAATTTACCTTCTCTATTTATATAGGCATTTTAGGAGATCTCCAAATTCCAAATAATTGTTTGTCTTTTAGGGTTGGGGCTTTGTTTTTCTCCGTCTCTCTATTTCTCTGATCTCTTCGAATTTCAGACGCAAGCCCTAACCCTAGGCTCCCAACTATGTCGTCAAAGCAAGGTACTGTCTTTTACACATTCAAAGATCTCGACTTGGTTAATTTTGATGATTCAAATTTCTTAGTAGGACTTTGTTTTTTCTCTTCCTGTTATTTTAAAAGATTTTATTTCTTCTTGTATTTTTCTGGGGCTCTTTTTAGGTGGAAAATTGAAGCCTTTGAAGCAACCCAAATCCGATAAGAAAGAATACGATGAGGTATTACAATTGTTTATATTATTTGAATCGATCTATCTTGTAAACCAAAAAGAAAATTATTTTTGCGTATCGTGGAAGATCATAATCTTTTTTTTTTCTGTGTGTGGCTTTAGACAAATATTACTTTGTCACAAGATTTGATTTCCTGTTAATTCCGCAGCATTGTTATTTAAATTTGTATTTTGTTTAATTTTTTGAAATTAGTAAACTTAATAGAACTTTGATATAGAAGTGAAAGTAAATCATGTTAACCTTCTGGAATTTGTGATGGTATATTGTGAATTGCAATTGTTCAATCTTAGAATTCAATTGTTTTTGCTGACATTATGGGCAAAATTGTGCAAAATTGTTAAGGTTAAATTCTGTATATTCTACTGGCCAAAAAAATTTCTGAATATACATGGTCTATTTTCATGTGCCAAGATTGTATCTTCCCAAAGAATCTTGTTGATAAACTAATTCTATTTGGAGGCATTTTGTCAATCTCAATTTATTTGTTATTGTGCAGCATGATATGGCTAACCTTCAGAAAAAGAAGGAAGGAGAGAAGGTGAGATGTTGGTTTTCAGACTCGTGCATTTTTGTTTTTCCCCTTAGCTCTTTGTTCTCCTTGTACTGATGTTTTGCGAATCACTAATCTGATTTGTTCTTTGTGGTGAGCAGGCACTTAAAGAGCTGAGAGCAAAGGCTCAAGAAAAGGGCACATTTGGTGGTGCTGGCCTCAAGAAGAGTGGGAAGAAATGAGGGTCTAAAAATCAAGCTAAACCAAAAAAACTATTGAGTCTTGTGTTGTGATTACAATTTCTATTAAGATGATATCTTTTGGGATGATTTGATTCTCTAGTGTCATACTGAATTTGGCAATTTGCTGCAAAGCCATGTGTGGAATGTTTGTAAAAATAAATTTAAAGTTCTACGTTTGTGCTTATGTTTGTGTTCTTAAATCTGCTATAGTTTTGATTTGCTAATGCCTGGATTTGGCTTTGGCTTATCAAATATAACAGTTGTGAATCTGATGACAATAAGTTCTTGCCTTTTATGCATCATGAATTTTCATTTGACGGTCTTTCATCTTTGATAGAATGATAGGTGCTGATTTTATGCCTGATGTGATCATCAATCATGGATGATCAGATGGACTCTAAGTCCGCTCAACTAACTATAGACTTTTAATTCAATAACATTGCAATTTTGTACACCCATTAAATGAGCGTTTAGATCTTAAATATGCCTAGCCTTTAGCTTATCTTCGGTGAAATTCGAAACTGATTGTTTCTCCCATATATTATCACAATATAATTCAATGTTGGTTCTTCCTCGCCATCCGTCAGTTCAACATTATTTTTTGGATAACGAACTATATAATCAAGTGTAGTTAATGCCTCAAGATTGAACAAAATGGCTGTTTCTCTCATTCAGAGGGTAAAAGTAGGACAGAAATTGAATGAATGGAATTTATACTCATTAAAATGAATTCCACAAGACCAGGTTTGTTCACCAAAATGAAACCATATCTAATCTTCTTTATCTAACAAAACTGGATTCCAAATCAAGTACCCCAAAATTTTCAAAATTCATTTATCAAGCCAGAAAGATCAAAATCACATCACATTTTGAGCTGCAGCAATAGTCCACTTTTCCATATTAGGGTCTAAATGCTTAGATATCGGCAGTACCAACTGTTGGATTTGTTATAGCAAGATTTTAAGGCAGTCAAGGAACTCGAATTCCTCCGTTATAGCTTCTCTACCTTTTCCGGTTCTTCTTCCTTTGAGGGTCTTCTTCTTCTTCCTCTTTCTTTTCGTCATCTTCCTCCTCTTCTTCGGGAGGATCAGCTGGCATTGGTGGAGGTAATGGTGTTTTCATTGGGCTGAATTGGGGAAAAATATCTGGCCTCCGCCCAAGTTTGGGCCTCTCCCATATCTTCAACATCCAGTCATGCACACAGGATAATCAAAATGGCAATGGTAAAAGAATTGTCTAAATCTAACTAAAAGACTTTCTATATAAAATGAAATTAAAGTATCCCAAAACAGCAATATCAACTCATAAGAATTTCAAGAAAGAGGAAAGCACTGGGAATCCCAATTGAAGACCTGTGTCTTGTGATATTTTTTTCTATGAAGGAAAGTTTGGACAACATCATGCCTGATAAACTTAAGATCTGAATGATGAATCATACACAGGTCTTCTTTAGGCAAATTATATACTCCATTCAACTGACATGCCACAGAATCCTTTAAATTTTGTGATTGGACAACCACGCAAGCTCAGAGTCCAGGATCACCACGACTTTATTGTTGTGTAATATTGAATTCACTTCTCCAATAATAAACAAGCTAGAAGAATGCATCCATTGGTTAGAATTACATTTAAAATATATATATATATATATATATATATATATATAACATTTGTTATGTCAGCATAAATCATATGTCAAGACGAGACAAAAGTATTTCTTTGATGAATGATGACCTAAGGAGTAGAAGAAGCCCTATAAAATTACATTTGCAAGGTCATAGTGAGAAGGAAAAAATATTTCCGTATCAAATGTTGGAATTTGCAGAAAAAAGGTAGTATATCACTGTCATGAGTAAAAATCAAAACAAAGCTCAATCGCTTCCCCACTCTCCAGTGTAATAAAAATGAAGGGTGCCCATCATATTAAGTGGTACCTTCGTCAAATTCTTAAGCATAGCTATCCTACTTCATATGGTACTAAACATGTTACGAAAACATGGATAAGTTGGTACACAATCAAATTGCCCATCAACCTAAGAGATTCATATTCCGGCGTTAGGCTTCAAAATTCTTTGTTCGAAAAGCTCCAATATGAACTTTTGTGCTGATCTAATAAGACCCAACTTCTAAGACATTCTAATTGAACATTGGTTCATCCATTTAGCTACATGATTAGACCTGTTTTCTTTTCTTTCATTCCTACCAAAGATGGTGAAAAAAGAAATAAAAATCCAAAACTTCAAAAAAATAGAATTTAAAGAAAGAAGAAAACGAAAAGATTTGCAAAATAATTACTATGGGGAAATCGAGAGGGGACGACGAGTCATTTTCTCTTCCTCGGGAGCCATGCAGACAACATGCCTCTTCAATACGCTGTAACTCAAACGAGAATTTCGACGAAAAGCACGAGGCAGCCAGACATACAGACAAGTAAAACTGCGGGTCTGAAGTTAAAATTTGATGGAAGATCTTGATGTTGAAGTAGAATTAGAACAAGGAAACGAAGAGGAAGAAACCAAAGAGGATTTTGTTAATGCAGCTGTTGTTAGCAACGCCATCATCCCGGTGTTGCCGCTCTTATCTCTGCTATTGTTGTCTCTCCTTTATTTTTTTCTCTTGGTTGAAATTATTTTGAAAGAAACCCACGTTGGGTTGATAAATCATGGGAATGGGAAACAGGTTGGATTTTGAGATTAAGCCTTGGCATTGGATTTTGAAAAAGCCCATGGTGGAAACTTGATGATCTACCAGAAGGAAAAAAGAGTGGAATTAGAGAGGATTAGAGAAAGATAAACATGATTTAGTTTTCTTGAATCTTGGGTCTTTTTGTTTCACCGAAAGATTTTTATATTTTTATATTTATTTTATAAAAAATTTTATTTGTCAATAAAAAATTAAAACTGATCGATAAAAAATTATGCTATATATTTTTTAAATTGCCTTCCCTTTTAAGAAAGAGAAGATAATTTTTGATAAAAAAACTATCTATAAATAGAAATATTTATTAAACTTATGAGTATAATTTTATTCAAATCCAACTTTAGACATAATTTTTTAAGTTTGGATTTAATTTGATTTGTCTTAAAATATTATTATATTAATAAAACATATTTTTATTTAATTTTATTTTAAAAAGTTTTAAAAATTATTATTAAAGGTCTTCTAATATTTTAATTTTAAATATTTTATAATTTTACTCAAGATACACTTTGGACATTATATTTAAATTTGAATTTAACTTTATCTGACCCAAATATTATTAAATTAATGAAAAAATATTTGCATTTAATTTTAATTAAAATTTAAAATATTAATATTAAAAATCTTTTGATATTTTAACTTTAATATTTCTCTATTGTATTTTATTAAACATAAATATTTTTAATATATCAATAATTAATAATATTATATTATTATTTTAATAATAAATATTAATTTAGTAAATAATATTTTTATTATTTTAATAATTAATAATATTATTTTAATTAAACAAATATTTTAATCATCTTAAATCTTTTTCAATTTAAAATATATTATTTTATATTTTATTGACTATTGTATTTATATTATTATTTTAATAATAAATATAAGTAAATAATATATTTGTTATGATTTAATAATAGATGCTTTCAATATAAAATATAACTATTTTAATAGTATAAATATTTTTAATATTTTAATCATAAATATTATTATTTTTAATATTTATTAAATTACTAAAAATAATATTTTAAGAATAATAATACTATCTAAATATTTTAAAATATTAATGTAATTAATAATGAATACTTTATTTTTAAGTGTTTAATATTATATAATATTAAAAATTTTTAATATATTTTAATAATAAATAATTTTTAATATTTTAATAGTTATGTTAATATTATTTCAAAAAATCAGATTTTTCAAAAAATAATTAAATAAAAAAATATTTTTCTTTAATTTATTCAAATAATAAAAAAAATTATAATTTTTCAAAAAATATAAATATTTTTTAAAGAATATTTTTTTAAAAATCAAATTTTGCCAAACAGAACCTTGAATGGTAATGGTTTAGCATTTGGTTGTTGAAGCTTATTACAAGACTTGGCTTTGAATATTGCTAATAAAGAGAGGAGTTAGAATGGTGGAGTGCTTGATATTTGTGGAATGTGACGAGAAGAAATTACTTATCAAATGAAAATTTGTGTTGAATTTAGAATGATCGAGTTTATATTTAATATATTATCAATGTATATATTTTATTTAATATCAATAAATTAGATGATATTCTCTCATATATGATCAAAAATAAATTTTTATTAGTCTTCAAAATAAATACACAAAAACTTAATTTTAAAAAATCTTATTAATGAGTTAACATCATTTGATTTATTAATAGTATATAAATTTTATAAATTGAAAGTATATCAAATATAAATTTAATTTTAAAATGCATCATAATCTACTATGATTTTTTTTAAGAGAAAAAGAATTAAACCTTTTTTTAAAGTAAAAGCTCATGCATTAACCATTTAATCAAATGTTTAGATGTAAAAATAAATAGAGTGTTTGACAAATAATTTATAAATAGACTCAATTTTTATTTATTTTTTTATGAATTAAATGAATAAATTTTGAACATAATAAAAATTAATTTATATTCTATTCATTTATATGCAAAATCTATTTGTAATAGTGCATATGATATAGCTTTTCAATTTTACTACCACACAATCATAAAGTTAAAATAGTAGTAGTTATCAATAGTAAAGCGACTAGTGACAATTGAACAAGTGTGTAGCATCAAATTCACATGTTTTATTTAATTGTATAAATGCTACGATGAGACAGAATTTTGATAATTCCAAACAAGTACTCTCCATTCGAAAATAGGTATCAACACGCCTTATGAATCACATGCACATAAAATGTTGTTTCTAACATATTCATTTAAGGAGAAGTATGATTTTATCAAGTGTTTTGTCATTTTGTTATTTTTCTTTTGTCTCGTGACCAAGGCACTTTTGCAGGCAGCAGGGGCTACTTGTTATAAAGTTTTTGAGGAACTTGGACTGCTGCAAATTGTCAGCTCCTCCAGGCTCCACCGCTTTCAAGTACAAAAATCGTCAACAAGTTGAGATCCAAATCCAATGATATGTAAACCTCTCGGACAACTTATCCCATGCAACATCCTGACACCGTTGCACGTATTAGTCACATGTTTTCCACACAGCCTCTTTCTGACTTGGCCCACTCGAGACGGTCGTTCCCTGTGAGTGGCCTGCCTTCCACATCCAATCAAGATATCTCT